CCCCCCCACCCCTATCTCCACCTCGGCATTATCCCAGCCTGTCGGCTCTGGAAGGCTGGTTCTGGGAGGTGTGAAATAGAGGTGCCCTAAGAAAGGGGTGTGTGGAGAAGCATCACTGCATATCAGCATGTTAAAGGATCTGATAAGTCCTGCAGACAGGAGCCTCTTTCACTTTATCTGACCCACTGTTCCTTAAATGTATTTAAACCTGAAATGCTTTCTTGGCTGAGCTCCCGTTCACATCTTGCAGAGCTAACATCTCAAAATACACAGCTGGGGAACATCGCCCAAACCTTTGTCTCCCCCGACTGCTAGATAGTTCATTTGGACTCTCAGATTCTAAAACTGCAAAATGTTCGAGGCCTCAAGGGTCTTGCTGTGGCCAACCTAGGCCAAGAGGGAAGCTGTGCGTTTGCCAGGCTCAGCTCTGGCTGGCGGTATAGGCAGGGCCCAGCCGGTATCAGTCCATCACCAGCCCTCCCCCTGCCACTGCTTCCAGGCCACTGAGCTCTCTCCTGGGGCAGCCAGGTCCTGAAAAGTAGGAGGTGGGAGGTCTGACCTAGACCCTCTGGTTCGTCATCTGCACAGATACCAAACTGGGGCCCGAGGCCTTCTGGTTTAACTCCGGCAGAGAGGCAGTGGCCACACAGCTGAGCGAGAGCTACTACATCCTGCGGCCTGAGGTGGTGGAGAGTTACATGTACCTGTGGCGACAGACCCACGACCCCATCTACAGGGAGTGGGGCTGGGAAGTGGTGACGGTGAGTGGGCTGGTTGGGGGGAGGGGGGACTGGGTGACAGGTGCCCTGAGAATTCAACCAGGGTCCAAAACACCCTAGCACAGGCTTTGAGAAGAGGGTCAGACCAGGCTGACATCCGGCCGAGGTTCTGAATGCAAAGGGTCAAGGTGAGGTTGCACAGCTAAGTGTCCCCAGCTGGGCAGACGCAGGCCGAGAAACGAGCGCCCACAGCCTTTGGGGCCTGGACTCTAGGACCAGCAAACTTAAGAGGGCCAAAGGCAGGGCAGCAGCCAGAGGGGCCCAGAGCACATGGGGTCCCTGCTCTCCAACCTTGAAGCCTGAGCAGATGGCTTTAGATTTCTCCTGTCAAGCAGGAATCGGCTGCCAAGCCAGCAGATCACCTCCCTGCTCTGCCCAGAGCCAGCCCAGCCCTGGGCAGCCCCTACCTTTCTCTGGGCTCTGCTCCCCACCGCCCATGTCTCCTCCACCCGCCCTCTTGTCCCCAACTACCTGGCAGGAAACCTCATGCCCTTCTCTGGGGTAGAGCCAAAGGCAGGTATGGGGAGTCCAGAAGGATGTCTCTTGATGGATGCTAAGCCTTCTCTGTGCCCCCCTCTTCCCAACTTCTAGGGCCCACGGCTCTGAGGCACAGGCTGTCCTAGGGAGAGCCACACCCAGAGCTTAGACTTGGGCAGGGCATGAGGGCATACTCAGGCTCACTGACATGGTTCATTGGCCAGAAACCCCCTGTTTCCCTGAAGGCCCTGGTTCTTGACCAGTAAAAGTCAAGTGTTTTGTGCTCCTGAGCCCAGCCCACAGACCCCTCTGTGGGTAAAAATTGCATTTATTAAAAAAAAAAAAAAAAAAAGTCAGCCCATTGCCCACCCACCGGTGGAACAGGGACCACATCTGCACAGGGAGTTCCCTGGGGTGTGCCGAGTCCCGTCCCCACATCCCGGCCCTCCACTGCCTTCCTTTGTGGGTGAGTCTGTTGGACCAGCCTATCCCCTGGAGGGCCAAGAGAACTTCCCCCGAGTTCAGACCCAGAGCAAAGCTCAAGCAAGCAGTCTGTTGGGACAGAGTGCTCAGCGGTGGGCCCAGGGTGTGTGTCCCCACCAGCCTGGCAGCAGGTCAGCTGAGCCCTGAACAAACCTTTCGGCCTTCTGCTTCCGCAAATGCCAGCAGCCCCTAGCCAAGTGGTCAGGGGCCTGCCCATCCATGAACTGGGCAGGCACGAGAACTGGGCAGGGGCCTCTCCTCTCCCCTCCCCCCGCCCCCCAAAGCTGCCTCCCTTCTCCTCAGGCCCTGGAGAAATACTGTCGAACAGAAGCCGGTTTCTCCGGGATCCAAGACGTGTACAGTAGCATTCCCAACCACGACAACAAACAGCAGACCTTCTTTCTAGCGGAGACACTAAAGTGAGTTGGGGCCCGGCCGGTGTTCTTGCCAGAGGAAACTGGGCTTTCCTAGGGTTGAAGGGCGGGGGTGGGCGAGGGATGGGGTCAGCAGTCCCTCCCTTCACCAACAGGTTCTGCCATCACAGGGGGGCCCAAGAGGGGCTGGAGGGACGGGGAAGGGGGCGCTGGGCTCTCCGGGTCACACCCCCAGGGTGCGCCTCTGGCCAGGCCCAGGCGGGACTCCATCCCCTAAGTGTTAGCCGTGTGGTAAGTTAACTCCTTTAACTAGTCTCCTTGGGTTACTTAGTTCTCTGAAACTACGTCCTCTTCTGTAAAATGGGGAGAATGACAGTGATGGGGGGTCACTGCTGCGAACCTTCCCTGTGCAGTTTTGCTGCTGCCCCGGCCCCTCGCTTTCTTGGGGTGGAAGTCCTCGATGTTCCCCAAAGCATCCCCCTTGTGCTCAACTCTCTGAAATGGATTAGAATGGTCTGTTCTGCCACCAGAACGGCACATCAGGGAGCAGCCTAAGAGTTTGGACTGGTGCAGTACTCAGGCCACCGTGAAACGAAAGAAGACTCTAGACCTTAAGCGGTCCTAGCGGGCTTCTCACATAGGGTCCTCATACAAGTGGGGAAGAACCTGGGTGAAGCCGGATGGGTATGAGTTAAACAGAGTGAGGGCAGGGGCGAGCCAGCATTCAACCAGGTGGGACCGCCCCAAGTCTCAGTGCCCTCCTTGGCATCCACAGCTCCTTCCCTGGGACCAGCCCTCCTAGTGGACTTGGGATCTCAGACCTCCCTGCACCCTTAGCCACAGGCCCGTTGTCGCAGTGGCCTCTGAGATTTGTTCCCAGCGGGGGGACCTGTTCCCCAAAGCGCTGACGGGCTGTGTTTTGCTTCCCTCCCGGCCCCCCCGGGGCGCAGGTATCTCTATCTTCTGTTCTCTGAAGACGATGTGCTCTCCCTGGAAGACTGGGTGTTCAACACGGAGGCCCACCCCCTCCCCGTGAACCACTCGGACAGCCCCGGCAGGGGCGGGGGCCAACTCTGACCCCACCTCCCTGCCGCTCCCGGGGGCCCGGAGGGTCGCCTTGCCTTTTCAGGACTTGGGACTGTTCTCAAAGGGATTGGGAACGTAGGCCCCATTCTGGGCAGACCCAGGGCACAGGTGTCGGACCAGCAACTTCCTTTCCTCTGTGAGGAGACAGGACTTGGAGACGCTGCAAATGTCGCACCAGGCCCAGACTTTCCTTCCTATGGAGAATTTCTATGAAACCCACTCACTTGCCATCCCAGGGCCCAATGACTGGAGGTCTGTCTATTGTCGCCATGTATTTGGGTCACTTCCGTTCATGTGGGGAGGGTTTTTTTTAATTTGTTTTGCTTGATTTTGCCTTTTCTCTGCAGTTGTGTTTTATCACAAATTATATGCTTTCAAAATCATGTGCTTTCACACGCAGTATCGTCTTGATGAACTAAACCTTAAAGTGTTTGCAGACACAAACCTTGACCCTGTTTTCTATATTTTAAATGCCTTTTGCCCAACATGTACTATACGTTCACCTATGTGGCATTTACCTTATAATTTGAGGAGGCGCTGCCTTTTGATTTGGGCCTAAATGTTAACGAATCACTAGTGCTATTTTCATTATTGTAATGGAAAAATCTGTAAACTTACAATAAAAGAGTTTATTGAATAAGAAATACGATTGGGTTCATTGCACATCAGTGACTCTTGGGAAAACCATTGCAATGCTATCAGAAAAAATAACCAGCAGTTGATTTAACGTGCAATTTAGTAAAGACTTCTATTGCCTTTCCTTAACTCAGTCTTAAAAATTCAGGAAGGGTGAAGCCAATCCTTTAAATGGAGTTGGATGTTTATACTTAGGTCAAAGCTTGGAAGAGGCCCAGAGAGGGCCAGCAACTTGCCTGAAGTCATACAGCCAGTAGAGGCAGAGGGGTGAGCCCAGCCCCTCTTACACTCCCCTCCCACCCCCAGTTATGTGTTCATCTGCTCTCATTCAGCAGATACATGGTGAGTGCCCGTAGGGGACCAGACACTGGGCTGGACACCAAGGACACAGCCATAAGTGAAACAGTCCTAAGTTCTGTCCTCAGGGAGCGAACGGTCAAGGAGGGGGAAAGACAGACCGGGAAGTAAACTGACAGGTAAGTAACATGACTGCAAGTTGTATAAAATGCTACAAAGGAGTCACGTGGGGCCAGGGTACTAATGGCCAGGACCGATCTGCGGGCATGACTTTCAAGGCCTAGAAGATAAGGAGCAGCCGGACGGGCACCCCACGATCCCACTCTCCCCAGTGACGTCACCTGCCTCCCCCGCGGGGAGGCCTAGAACCTTGAGGCGTTATGCAGAGCAAGGCGTCCAGGCAGGGGTGAAGGGAGAGCTCTCCCTCCGCTTGGCAGCTTGTCCACACAGCTGACCTCACAGGATAATTCTAAGCCCTGCCGCACGCTCAGTCACTTCATTCTGGCTACTTGAGTAGCCCCAGGACACCTGGCTGGCTCCGTCAGAAGAGCATGTGGTCTTGATCTCGGGGTCGTGAGTTCAAGCCCCATGTTGGGTGTGGAGATTAATAAACTTGAGTAGCCCCTGGGGTGTTGGAGCCCTGGGCCAAGTCACCCGCCTTTAAGTCCCCACTATGAGAGCCTGGGCAGGTCACCTCACCTCTCCGGTCCCTCATCCGTCAAACAGGGAGAAACCTCTGTCTCCCAAGGTCGCTGTGACAATGAGTGGGATCCACAGGTGCCCTGGCAAAGTGGGCAGGGCTTTTCTTTGTCCTGGGGACGCAGATGCCTCCTGCATCTTCGTAAGCAGTAAGAACTCTGGGTGAGCAGTCCCCATGGCAGGGACCCTGGAGTTTGGTGACTAAGTCCCTCCCTGAACCCAGGAAATCACTTCACTTTTTTTTTTTTTTAATTTTTTTTTCAACGTTTTTATTTATTTTTGGGACAGAGAGAGACAGAGCATGAATGGGGGAGGGGCAGAGAGAGAGGGAGACACAGAATCGGAAACAGGCTCCAGGCTCCGAGCCATCAGCCCAGAGCCTGACGCGGGGCTCGAACTCACGGACCGCGAGATCGTGACCTGGCTGAAGCCGGACGCTTAACCGACTGCGCCACCCAGGCGCCCCTGAAATCACTTCACTTTAGACAGGCATCAAGAAAGTGTGACTCTGGCGACCCGCCTGTGTCCACTTTTTTTAAAAAGCAAAACAGGGGCGCCTGGGTGGCTCATTCGGTTAAGTGTCTGACTCTTGATTTCGGCTCAGGTCACCATCTCACGGTTCGTGGGATTGAGCCCTGCGTCTAGCTCTCTGCTGACAGCGCAGAGCCTGTTTGAGGTTCTCTCTCTCCCTCTCTCTCTCTGTCTGCCTCCCCTCTGCTCGCATGCTCACTCTTTCTCTCAAAAATAAACATTTCATAAACTTGAAAAAATAAATAAGGCAAAACAGAAAAACCCACTGCCAAGCATTGTGGAAAGGTTAGGAGTATCTTTATGCTGAGCAGAAAGAAAAGCCACATACAAACCATCCTACCCTTCGGAATGAAGACCATTATATTTTCTTCTAGATCTTTTTTCTGTGAACGTACAGAACATATTTTGCAAACATGGAATCACACTATGTCTACTGTTTTACTATAATCTGCTTTTGCTCTTAACTATATGCTGTGAAGTTCTTTCCATGTCGACAAATACACACTTACTACCGCACCTGGTTGTAGAATGTTCCATTGTGTACTCTATCGTGCTTTCTGGATCCAAGCCTCTGTGGCTGGGCATTTGGGTTTGTGACAGTTTGGGCCCTCAGTTACAAATAATAGAAACCAACTCTGTCTAACTTAAGCCAACAAAACAAAACGAACAAACAAAAAAAAAGAAAAAGAGAAAACACGTATTGAAATGCCCTGGGGTGACTCATGGGCTCTCAAGAGAGGCAACAGTCAGACCACAAGAAGGACTAGGAAGAGGAAGTGGCCAGGGACGGGATCTAGGCTGGAAGAACCAAGGGGGTAGTCTCCCCAGCACCTCCGTCAGGCCGGGTGACTCCAAATGGGTCCGGATCCTACCGGCTCCCCTCAAGGAAATAGGCTTCCAATTGGCCTAACCTGGGTCATGTGCTCCCCAGCCAGGTGCATCTTGAATGACAGGCAAGGACCCCATGCGATAGGGGATGGGCTGGTCCCTGGAGAAAAAAAGGAGGTTTGCTACCAAAATAACGAAGCCACCTGCTGGTGGGGCAGAAACCGCAGGACTGTTCACAGGTTTTGCTTTGATTTTTTTCAGTATTAGAAAGAGAGTTAGGAAAGCCTACTTGGCTATTCCTCTTCTTTCCTCTCCTCCGGCCCCTTAGAGCCAACTCCTGGAATGTCTCTCCGTGGCAAAGTCACTTGGCGGTTCCCCAAGGCCCCATTCC